GTAATCTCTACTTTATCGCACACTTCTCCGTCGAACACAGCCTACAACGCAACGAAATATATAACACATTCCCCGTGCATTCGGCTTTCCCGCAGTCCACCCTCCAGGCGAACGTCCGTTAGGTCGATGTTGACGTCGAGAACAGGTTTCCCGTCGCCCTTATCCAAATAGATGGTCTTCCCGATAGATATTTTCTTTCTCTCTCTGTCCTCGCTCACCTGTTTACAAGCCATGGCCTCGAGTGCGGAGGGAGTGAGGGAGGGATGAGGAGTGAGTGTGGCGGTCCAGCCGAGGTACGAGATTATATAGTCTCCCTTTCACATCAGGACGACCTCAGCCTGGGAAAGCGGGGATGCCACTTAGGGTTTGCGTGCTTCATTTTTTTTTTTTTTTTTAATTCGGTTCGATGAATAATAATACTTCACTTCTGTCGAGATACGTCAAAAAAAGACGCTTTGGAGAATGAAAACAAATCCTTTGATAATTACTGAAGACCTGGTGATTAGGACGTAAATTAAAAGCGAAAAAGACCGGTAGTTTATTCGAAGGGACTTTACGCTCGTTTACACGGATAGACCTCCGCCCCGCCCACTGGAAGCTGGTCGTGAAGGGAGGTTTCTGATCCTGGCAAGAAGTATGAGCTTAGGAAATGACATGATTCTGCATAATAGATATGAAAGTCTCTCCCTTGTGAATTAAAGGGCACTTCCTCCATCTCCTGGACGTAAATTCACAATATAGTGAAAATCGTATACTGACGAATTACTCAAATCTAATTAATTATGGACAAAATATCGCCATATCAAACCAACATTCATAATTCTAATCCACATGAACCGCATTTATGTTGACAAATATAGAAAATGTATGAATGAGAATGAATATACAAATATACATATATACAAATATATACAAATCTACACATAATATAACCACATCAAACCAACATTCATAAATCTAATCCACATGATACGTATTCATGTTGACAAATGTAGGAAAGGTATGAATGAGAATGAATATATACAAATCTACACATACAATCACTGCATCAAACCAACATTCATAAATCCTAATCCACATGAACCGCATTCATGTTGACTAATGTAGAAAATGTATGAAGGAGAACGAATATCTTATACATAAATACATCTCTTGTAGTGTGAAGATATTCATTCTCATTCATACCTTTTCTGCATTTGTCAACATGAATACGGTTCATGTGGATTAGAACTTATGAATGTTGGTTTCATGTGGTGATTGTATGTGTAGATTTGTATATAAGATATTCATTCTCATTCATACCTTTTCTACATCTGTCAACATAAATACGGTTCATGTGGATTAGAATTTATGAATGTTGGTTTCATGTGGTGATTTTATGTGTAGATTCGTAAATTTGTGTAATCCGTCAGTATAGCATTTTCTACTAATCCACATCTACACCGGTCCAATCACTACTAACCCACATTACACCAGCACAACCCACTATCCCTTTCCCAACCCAAGCCACAACAACACAACATCCCCTTCACAACAACAACGTCACTTTCAATCACATCTCACAATAGATCCAGTCACCCGGCAGAAAATACTTTCAGGTCAAAAAACGAAAGAAAATTTCAAGGATAGAATAGCGTCTCCTTCCGATCCAATTCTCTTGTCAGGATCCGCCAAAAAAAAAAAAAAAAAGGAAAAAAAAAAATTGAGATTGATGGATCCTACGGGAGAGGAATGGAAAGGACGAAATGGTAGATTTTCAATTAGGAAAGAGAGGGAGAAGGGAGGGAGTTGGAGGGAGGGAGAGAGAAGGAGAGAAGGTGGAGGGAAAGAGAGAGGAATGGAAGGGACGAAAATGGTAGATTTTCAAATTCCCGGGAGAGAGAGGGACGAGAGGGAGGAGGAGGGTGGAGGAGGGAGAGAGGGAGGGAGGGAGCAGAGAGGGAGAGAGGGAGGAGTGAGAGAGAGAGGGAAGAGAGAGAGGAGAGGGAGGAGAGGGAGAGAGAGAGGGAGGGAGGAGGGAGGGGGAGGGAGGGAGGAGGGAGAGAGAGGAGAGAAGGTGGAGGGAGAGAGAGGAAATGGAAGGGGACGAGATGTAGATTTTCAAATTAGGGAGAGAGAGGGGAGAGAGGGGAGGGAGGGAAGAGAGAGGGAGGGGGTCGAGGGAGGGAGAGAGAGGGAGAGGAGGGAGGGAGGGACAGGAGGGAGAGAGAAAGGAGGGAAGGAAGGAAGGAAGGAGGGAGGAGAGAGAGGAGGGAAGGGTTGTGGGGAGGGGAGAGAGGAGAGGGAGAGAGTGGGAGGGGAAGGGAGAGAGAGGGAAGAGAGGGAGAGAGGGAGGGAGGGGAGGGAGGGGCAGAAGACACCCAGGGAGAGGGAAGGAGGGAGGAGGGGAGAAGAGAAGAGGGAGAGAGAGAGGGAGAGAAGGGTGTTGGCAGGGGGGAGGGTTGGAGTGAGGGAGAGGAGAGGAGGGAAAGGGGTTCGGAGGGAGGGAGGGTTGAGGGAG